TTCTGGGTGATCATCAGCTTGATTTTACTTTATATGGTGTTCTGCGTTTGTGCAGCGTGTACAATGTTTGTAAGGTTGTTCAGGCGAGGAAAGGAAGCATGCTAATGGCGTTGGCAATGGTAAACCTAGGTTTAATAATTAAACATAAACAAGGAAGAGATGGTAAGCCTTGGTTACACTGAACCAGGTTTAATAATTTATGATGTTACCATTTTAATAAATCAGTTTAGCTGAATTCTAGGATTCTTCTTGGTATAGAAAAGCCATATCTAAATAATTAGTGATATGGGTCCAAATTGTCAATTATAAGGTCTTTTTTACCTTGACTGTTTGTCTATTCTTGTTATTCGTTTCCATTTTTTGTTGAAAAGAAAAAGGCAAGACAATGAAAACTGTGAGCTTAATTCAAAATTCCTATGGCATTTTATTAGTATTAGATTAATGAATTTATTTGTTTCTTAAACTTTTTGACAGAAAGCATATATTTTGTAAGAATTTTGCGTTATACATTACTTTGATATCTATATATGATGCTTGGTTATTTCTTGTTTGTTTGTTTGTTTCTTGAAATTTTTGTTCTGTATTGAAGGATTTCTGCTAAAATATATCTTTTTTTTGCCATTAGTTTCTAATTTGTTATAGGAAAGTGAGTGACTTCCGACCATTGTACAAATGAATGTGATTTTTTTTTTTTTTTGGGGTTTTCCCTTTTTTTGGTTAAGGAATTTTTATCTCTATTATTATTTTTAAGGAAAACTCGTCAGATGTATTCATTCATATCATATCTGGTAGGTAGGGTAGCAGAATGGATGAATATTCTTTCCCTTGATGTCTTGGGAAAGAGAACGGAAAGGAGGCACAAATGTTATGCCACCTTATTTATGTGAACTGCAAATTTATATTTTTTTTTGGTACACGTTAATCTTTTGTGTGTGATTACTTAGATTAGGGGCCCTGATCATCAGTGCTGATTGAATGTCTGCTCAAGCTGCTCATCTACAACCCAAAGTTTAATCTAAAGCTAAGACCATCAGAATCATTCATGTTTTAATTAATCTGTGGTATTATTCGTTAAAATAAACTTTACCAACTTTATTAAAAAATCATATATAAAAGTGAACTGAATCAATGGAGCTTTGATAGTTAACTATGCCTGTATTTGTTATGGTTGTTAGCTTATTAATCATCGTGTACTGAAATTTGCAGGTACAGCAATAGGTACAATTTTATTATGCCAGGTAGTTGTCTCAATACGATGTACATGTTTATAGGATTTAATTGATTTTTGCAAAGATACGGGTTTACAATCCAGTGTTACTGCCACTATCATGCTTCTTTGATAAATTTTCCAATTCTGTTTCTTTATTAGGTGCCTTACATCACTACTGCTTTGATGGATGTGAAGCGTGACACGGAAGGGCGCAAGGATTTTTTGATTGGCTATCAGGGCAACTTAGTGGATTAAGCAATTTTCCTGTTGCTGTAAATCTGAATTATGTATTGTTTTAATTTGTTATGCTAGATGGATGTGACTTGTGAATGAAAACTTAGAATAGTTGTATTGTGTCGAATGTTAATGATTCAGTTAATTTGAAGGATGCTTTAAAATTATAGGTTTATTATGGATTGAATGAATTATTAGGAATTACAAGTGTATTGTTTTCCTGCTTTGGCGACCAATTTATTAGTCGCGACAAATAAATTATTTCTTTTCGCAAAAAATGACAATTGCCGACCAAGAGTTTTGGTCGCAAAAAATACATCTATTGCTGACCAAAACAGTTCTTGGTCGTGGAAACTCACTTTTGCCGACCAAAAGTTTTGGTCGCGAAAAGTAACAAATGGCGACCAAAACCTTTTTTGGTCGTGGAATGTCACAATTGACGACCAAACTTTTTGGTCACGGAATGCCACGATTGGCGACCAAAATTTTTGGTCGCGGAATGTCACGATTGGCGACCAAAATTTTTGGTCGCGAAATGTCACAATTAGCGACCAAACTTTTTGGTCGTTGAATGTGATAATTGGCGACCAAACTTTTTGGTCGGGAAAATATCACTTTTCACGACCAAAGTGTTTTGGCCACAAAATAAATTAGTCGCGGTAATTAAATATTTAGCGACCAAAAATTTAGTCGCGAAATCCAACTTTTGCCGACCAACCACAATTTTGGTCGCGAATTACTTTTGCCGACCCTCAATTGGCGACCAAAGTAGCGACCAAAAAAATTGGTCGCGGATAACTTTTGCCGACCAAAAATCGACTTTTAGCGACCAATTTTTTTGTTGCCAAAACTGTTAATTCTTGTAGTGTGGGTCCCTCCTATCTTTTAAAAATATACAAATAACTCTTAAGTAATTTTGAGCTAAAATGCATAATTAACACTGTTAACGAAAAAGACAAAAAGATGTTTATATATATCCTCCTCATTGCAGCAATATCATTAACTCTCTTAAAAATAAAATAAAATAAAATAAAAAATCACCACCATCAATTTATTCAATTCAACCACCATTACCAATTTTAATGAATAAAATTTGAACATAATTTAATCTTGTTAAAAAATAAAAAATATGTTTATACATTCATATATATATATAACTGTACAAAAAGAAACAAATATATATTTAGACATAATAACAACATGGCCAATGGTATTAATGGAGAAACAATCTGAATTAGAAAATTGTGCATTTGCCTTTTAGCCCAATGGCATGGCATTTTGCGAACTTGTGTTGTTGGTGTGAATCAAAGGGCTTTGCTCTGTGTATCAAAGCTGTGTGTTGCCAATCAGTGAGGGAGGCTGGTCATAGTGGTGAGAGAGGAGAGAGGCAGAGGAGTGAGGTGTGGAAAAAGGGTGGGAGGCGGTGACAGATGGTGGTAAGAAGAGGTTACCCAATAGTGTAGATGGCTAGGGTTAGGATTTGGTTTTTGAGAATAAGAGATTAGGATTTTTGTTTAGACGATGGAGTTAAAGGATATATTTGTCATTTGATATTGTTATTTGATTTTAATTGATTTTTTTTTCCAAGTCAAATCTCAATTCCAAAGCTTGTGAAACAAATTCTGTTGATTTAAATAGAAATATTGATGGTAGGGAGGTAAATTATAAAATATCCAAAATCACAAGGGAGGTATTTGGTTATTTTTAAATGATAGGAGGCAAAGTGTTTTGAGGTTGTGAAGATAAATTTTTCTATGCCAAAATTTCTCTATATTAAAATTTTTCTGTGCTGGAATTTCTTTGTGAAAATATTGAGAGATCCTCACTACTATAAATGTAACGCGCCAAAATAATCCAACATAAATGTAATACATCAACCCACTATCATTAAATAATAAACCCGATACACAAGAAATGCCGGAAAGCCACAATCACCATATTCTATTACAAAACTTCAAATGCTTATACAACAGTAATCTCATATCATGATTTTCTTCAAAATCACCATGTTTTCAATACGATATTGCAATCTCATTAATTTCAAACTTCCAATTTTTATCACAAGGGGGCAGTAAATACGACACTGGTAATCCCTAGGTTAGTGCCTGCAAGTAGGCTCAACAAGTACTACCAGTAACCCCACTTTGCCGGTTGCTAACCGGAAGGGAAGTGGTACCTCATCCGCGCGTGTTTTCGATCTTTCACCTCGGACACTCAGGCCAACTTATTAAATTCATCTACACCTCCTAACCGGACTTACCAACGTATTTACTCCATAACAATTCTGTGGTTTCATTCTCAATATTACATTCTCAATGAGAGTCCAATTCTCAATCTAATGTTCATGATATGCAAGGTATTAGAAAGATCAATGCAACAATTATCAATGTTATGTCATATTTCTCTACTTTCAACATGGTTTCAACATGCATTATATAATGATCAAAACTCCCTTCTTCCTTTCAATGCCATTTCACAATTGACCAAAAAAAACTTACTACCATTTATCAATAACATAATGACATTTCCCCATTTCATGTACTTCCATCATTTTCATCATTTCAAGGTTGTAATAAAATTTTGGACAAGTAATCTACAATCTTAACAATTCTCATGTGGGTAGAAACTCATCATCAATACATACATACATACATACATATTTGCAACAAAACAAGAAAAACTCTCCACTTCCTTTGCTCTTCATGACATACACTATGAATTCATGTGTGAATGTATATATATATATATATATGTATATCACCCAAAAAAACCCCATCTTTCTATTTTCAAGAAAATTCCCCAAAATTCTAGGTTTTCACAAAAACCCTACATTTTTCCATCTCATTTATATAACCTCATTATACACCTCAATCTCAATCCTTATTATCCAAAATTTCAAGAACCTTTATAAAAGAACATAAGATAGTGTTTATTCTACAAAATCATCAATTTTCTTGAGCCACCAAAACCATTTTCGAAATAACAATGAGGGGTTCACTAAACCACCCAAAAACTTACATAAACATATATATAACTCAAAGGAAAACCCTACCTCAAGCTTGTTGAAGAAATGGAAATGAAACCCTAGCTTTGATGGTGTTGAAATGAGATCTCCACCGTACACTATGTGGTTCCAGAGATGTTCTCAATCTTTGATGAAGGAGTCAAGTTTGGATCTCAATGGATGGAAGAAGATCAAGGGTTTTAATGTTTCCTTGAGGTTGAAATGTAGAGAGAAGGGAGAGAGATATATTTTTAGAGAGAGAGAGATGAGATTATTATGATATACAAACAGCCCAAAAGAAGAAAGAAAACAGAGCCTTGAATCTGCCCAGATTGCTGCACGTGCGGCGCCCTTCCCCGCACGTGCAGAGCGCCCCTTCTCGCACGTGCGGCCTTTATCCCCGCATGTGCGGTGGCCCTCTACTGCACCACCCTTGGCACCTACCTTTTAGGCAGTGTGCAGCCTCCCATCTCCGTTGAATTCTGCACGTGCAGCCTAGCCTCCCGCACGTACAGCTAGCCAACCAGCCCATAAAATTTTCCTTATTCAACTCCCAACACATCTGACTGACTTCACACCCTCCGAAACAAGAGAAAAGTCGACACCGAAACAGACAAGAACAAGAACTCTAATTTGAGAACCATTTCCGGATGTTTCAAATTTAATGAAGGTAAAAGGAGAATGATGCGAAGAAAGAAAGAAAATGGGAGAAAAGGCCCGGTCATCACACTAAAAATATTGCATGTCTTTTATTTTATAAAATCTTAATATTATGAATCTTCAATTAAAAACCCCATATTTCTCAATCATTCTTCAATAACATTTTAAAATATTTTTAGAAGACATTTTGTTTTTTTATATTTGCTATAAATCTCTTAAAAATAAATTCAAAAAAAATTCATTAAGTTTTCAAGTAGTTTTTGCTAAATTTATCGTCAATTTCTTCCCGTTTAACAATTCTAAATTTATGTAGAAAATTTTCCTAAAGATTTTAGAAGAATAATGTTCCTGTTTTGAAAATTAATTTCAAATTGGGTACTTTTTATAATAGGATAAATTACATTCACCTCTCATGAGATTTGGAGAAAATACAGTTAATTCCATATTTTGAAATAATTACAATGATTTTAATTAAAGTTTTAATTCTCATAATATTTAAATCATTTTTCATTAGTAATTTATTAGTTGTATGAATGAAAAATTCATATTATCATCTATTTCTTACTAAAATGCATATTTGTCTTTATTTATTTTACTGTCTACCCACTATCGACATAATAATTTCAATCACTCTAATCTTACAAAAAACAAAATATTTACATAATTATATTAAAGGTGTGAGACTAATTAACCAAGTCATGGTTGTGTACAGGCGAAATGAGGCCTTAATGTGTATACTCTTCCCATCAAGCCTTGGTGACCTAGGCTTGACTTGGTTCGAAAAACTTCCAGAGGGCAGCATAGCCTCCTGGGCTCAACTGGCAGAAGCGTTCGTAACAAGGTTCCGAACAAACACAAAAACACCGGTGGAGATCGACCAGTTACTCTCCATCGACATGGGGGATAAAGAGACCCTTAGATCCTACAACAGTCGCTACTGGGAAACATTCAATCAGATTGGGGACTGCCCCACCAATCTTGCCATTGCCCAGTATAAAAGAGGCCTTCCAGTCGGGAACAGACTAAGAGACTCCATCACCATGACGCCACCCCTTACCATGGAAGCCCTGATGGAGAGAGTGCATCAGCACATCAGGGTAGAAGAGGATGGCGCACGTGCCAAAGCAAAATCTAGTGCGACCGTAGTACCAGAAAAGAAAACCTCAGCAAAGGTCAATACGGTGGATCGTCAAAATAGAAACGGGCGTGGCAAATGAGATAACAGAGAAGACCCAGACAAAAGATGGATAAGAATCCGCACTGCCATAACAACGGTGTTCAAAAAACCGATATATCGGATTCTGAGCGAAATAAAAGATGAGCCTTCCGTCAAGTGGCCAGCCAAGCTAGGAGAAGCTCAGAAAGACTACGATGACAGATCATGGTGCACCTTCCACAAAGAAAAGGGGCACCGAACTGAGAATTGCACGCCACTTAGACAGCACTTGGAAGAGTTGGTGGCAGCAGGCCACTTGGACAAATATATTAAAGGAGAGAC